GTGTGTGTGTGTGTGTAGAGAGAACTCTTCCCTGGTCCCTTCTTTCCAGACACCCGGATGCTGAGTGTCGCTGTAGCCTCCCCAGGTCCTCTTCCCGAGTCTCTTGCATGCAACCTTGTGCCTCAATTTCCCCACCTGGACCGCGGAACAAGTAGCATCAGCGCTTCTTTTCTTTCCTACTTGGGACGGTGTTTGGTTTGGGCAAAGTGAGACGAAACCGGGCCGGCCCTGGGAATTACTTATCTTCCCACTGATCCTGGGAACAGACCGTTATTTAAGTAGTGCGACCACCGCACTTGCCCCGCAGTGGACGCCATGACAGGCGAGGTGACCTAGGAGAGGACCTGGGGCTTCATTTGGTGGCGCTTTGAACCTGGCATCCTTCAGCGTGTGCATCCTCTGGTTGGGCAGAGCAGCAGGCCTCCGTCTCTCCCAGAGAGCGTGCTGTTCTCAGGAACTTTTCTGCTGATGTGGGCACGCACCGAATTCCAGCCCCGGGGCCCTTTCTCCGCTGACCCTGCCGGCTTGCCACAGCTGTCAGCTGCCCCTCCTCTGCCGGTCCCATCCATGGCCCCTGCTGAAGTCCAGCCCCCTGATGTTTATTTCAGCACAGCTGATGCCCCAAAAGTGGGTGACAGGGCCCAGTGAACTTCTTTAGCAGAAGCCTGCTTGGCCTGTGTTTATGCCATCCCCATGTCTACTTCATACCTGATTTCCCCCAGTGCTTCTAGTAGCTGACCTGTTGAGGTGTCCGTGGTGGTGTGTTTGGTGGGCAAGTTGAAGCTTGCTTGATTCTGAGCTGCTCCCCAGAGAGGTGTGTGCTTTGGATGAGAAATCTCCCTCCCCTTTAAGTGCCTGGTCCTGGGCATCCTCAGAATCTGCTGCCTAGTCTTCCCCTTCTCAGACCTATGATGTCATCCCCACTCCTCCTAGACTCCATTTAGAAGTCTGTGGCTTTGCTGTGGCTTCCAGTGGTGGGATGAGGGCATAGGCTGCCTGGAGGCTGCTGTAGATTTTTAACAAGATCTGGGCCAGAGTGCCCTGTTACTCCTGAAATCCTTGGCCAACCCAGGAGAGGCTTCTGAGGGGCTATTGGTGGCCCCAGGTAGGTGTGAATTATTATTTGGAGGCTATTTGAGCAGGCCAACTTCCAGGGCATTTCAGGCAACAAGACCTGCCTGGAGGCACGCACTCAGCTTGGGTAGCAGTGGGGTGTCCAATGATAACACTCAAGAAGGAAAGTCTGGAAGCCGGCTTGTCTGTGTGTATGTCCTCAGAGAGCTACTTGTGCCCCAGTGGAAACTTATTTGTTGCATCTCCCAGTTGGTGCTAGGTTGCTTCAGTTAAGTCTCCATTTCTATAAAAATAGTTGTAAAGTTAATTTTGTCTCTCTTGGTCAGTGCTGATTATTTACTATGCATGTATACATGTAAAATAGGATTCTCTATTTTGTTGCAGAGTAGTCATAGTGGGGGATAGGTTTGGGAGGAAGGCAAGGAGTTGTCCAATTGTCCCAGGTATCAGTTTTACATTATCTGTGATTGGTGGGTCTGAATCACCTTTATAGTTGCTGTTTAGAAACCCCTGGGCAGGTTGGGAAAGGAGCCGTTGATGGCGTAGTGATTGTTTGGCTGCTGACTGAAAGTTCAGTGGTTCAAACCTACCAGCCTCTTCGTGGGAGAAAGATGTGGCAGTCTGCTTCCGTAAAGATTAAAAACAAAACAAAACCCATTGCCATCAGGTCGATTCCTATAGGACTGAGTAGAACTGCCCACGTGACAACAGCAGTTTTAGGCAGGTTGGGGTGTGAGCATTTTTCAGGTTACATTAAACATTATCCTTGTAGGATGAATTCCACTTTTACCTCAAGTGTTGCCAGTAACAGGACTGGTCATTTTTCCTGATGCAGATGAGGTGCTCCTGGCTCCCAGACCATAGAGAAGCCTGCATTGTTGAGTTTAGGCTTTATAGTGGGACTGGAGACTTCACCTTTCTATCCCTTATCCTACACTTCAGTGCTTTTCTGGGAAGTTGATAAAACAAGAGATTACAAAAGCCAGTACTTGGGATTTTTGTCTTCATCTAATAATATGTGAAGAAATCTAGGGTTAAGATTGAGCCCTCATTTTAGTCTGGGGTCTTTGTAGGGCTGAAAGCTCACTGACATTCCAAGAGCATTTGGAGAACTTTGTTGTTCAGGAAACTTCTCAGACACCTTCATTTTTTTTTTTTTCCTTCCTTTGTTTTTATTGTTTAATTGTTTGTGTTAGGGAAGTGAAGCATTGATTTGGGCAGTTATTACGCTTTAATATATCATGTGTGAGAGCCTCAGCCCAGGTCTCGTTGTCTGACGTGCAGTTTTTCTTCATCTGGTTGGACGCCGTGGGGTTAAGTGCGCAGGTCTGGAGCTCACTTCTGATGGCGGTCATGTCCTGTGGTTGGTCAGTCTTCTCACCTCCTGGGCTGACCTTTGCTCAGACTCCCTGACATTCTCTCTTTGTCAGTGAAAAGGCTTGATCTTCCCCCATGTGAACTCCCGGGAGTGGGTATCCACCTTTTCTCCTGGAAGGAGTGCAGTGTAATGGTGTGAGTGGGTGGGTGGGGTTTTTTTTTTTTTTTTCTTTTTAACGAGTGGTGTAGCTAAGTCCATTCCAGGTAGATGAGAGACTGTGCAGCACAGAAGTACAAATAAACACACTTCGTTGCTTTTCATCTTCAAAGAGATGGGGCTAAGACTGCCCTACTGGGGTATGAGATGTTTTTTCCTGACAGCCCACTTGGGCCTTTTACCTTGGGATAAATGGGGTGGGGGTGGGGTGGGGGGGATGTCAGAAGGAGCAGGTGGGATAGTAAATTCTGGGCCTCGAAGACTGGTTTAGACATTTTTTTTTACCAAAGTCACCAGGGCATCTTGAAAGTGGGCCTGTATTGTCATCTTTGTAAAACACTTTAGAGAATTTGGAGATTGAGAAAGTTTATCATAAACTAATTTCATGTTAAAGACTTGGCCTGTTTGCATGGGCAAGGGGAGGAAAGGGACCCGTTTGTGGCGCATATCCTGTATGTGAGACATTTTGCTGGCCACTTTAAACACATGATCTCCTCGAGTATTCTCAATGATATTGTGTGACAGGCAGTCGTTTTATGGTTCAGGAGAGATCAGTAGTACCCAGGATGCCACAGCAAGGCTGAAACTTAGATTCTGACTCAAGTTTCTCTTGTCCCCCAAGCCCGAGCTTTCACCGCTCTTCGCAGGCTTTCTTTACATTGCTTCCGTGCCTTTCCTCCCACATGCTTTTGTGAATTAACCCAGTCAATAAGATTGTTTCCATAAACCCCCAAAGAAAATTTGCTCACTTTGTGATCACTGCTCTGAGCTTATTCAGTAGAGACATCAGCTTTCTCTGCCGGCTGCATTGATGTTCATGAAGTTGTTATATTATGTGGTGTTGAGTCATTTCAGACTCATAGACTCAATCTTCATGGGGAGCCCTGGTTGCACAGTGGTTAAGTACTCGGCTGCTAACCAACATGTCGGTGGTTCGAACCGACCAGCCGCTTCGCGGGAGAAAAATGTGGCAGTCTGCTTCTGTAAATATCACAGCCTAGGAAACCTTATGGGGCAGTTCAGCTCTGTCTTGTAGGGTCACTCTGAATTGGAATCCACTCGACGACAATGGATTTTTTTTTTTTTTTTTTTGGTCATCTTTATGGGAGCAGATCACCAGGTCTTTCTCCTGTGGAGCTGAAAATGGGTTCAAACCTCCAAACTTTTGGTTAGCAGCCGAGCACTCATCCATTGTGTCACCAGTGCTCCTTGATGTTCATGATAAATACATAAAATAAATCTTAGAGAAAATACGGGACTTTTCAAAATAACTCTGACTCTGGTCTTGCTGTGTGCATGGTTGAGAAGAATCCATGGTGGAGGAAGACACTACAGCCCAGGGTTTGATTTCTTGACCCGAGTTGTAGTCACACGGGGGCTTGTTTTCATTCGTTAAGCTCTATATTTTCCTTGTTTCTTACGTGTTTACCATATTTCACAATTAAAAAAATAAAAGACACTATCGGCTTTGGACACATCTTGGAGTGATGGAACTGTTTCTAACTATGAGATAGCCTCGGGGACAAGTCTATTTTTGGTTGTTGGATTTTCTTGTTTGTTCTCTCTCTTTCTGTCTTTGGAATATTCTGGAAATGCTTGCGCCATTCAAACTATAGCTTTTTTTGCCAGTGATTTTTACCTGACAACCAGGGAGACTTTTTAGTAGCTTCTCTGTGTTTGTGTAACTGCCTTTCTTCCAGCATAATTGTAAAAGAAGCTACTCATA